TCGTTGCCACTACTTTTGGATACCCCTAAGTATTTTGTTAGAAAAACTTAAGATATTACAAAAGACGTCTCGACTTCTTGTACAAGGTAATCAAACTTTTCGGTAAATTAAATCGTTATACTTACAAGTATAAAACAGTTCCATTACATAAAATCGGAAAAAAGTATTATCTAAACTATTCAGAATTAAACGGAAAAGTAGTCTAAAAAATTTCCGCAACATGAAGAAAATGCAATTATAATAGTTTATCTAAAATGAGAGAAAAACGTAGCCTAAATCTTTAAAAATCAAACAAAGATATAGCTCGAATTTGTTCAAAATTGCAGAAAGTTCATCAGAAGTTTTCTATGACATTGGAGAAGGCTATGATCAAACTTTCAAAAGTAGGAAAGGTATATTTCTTATCTCCGCATGTTATTTTGATTTTACACAATCACTAACCATTCTTGTGAACGTCTTGTTCATACTACAACCATTTTTAAATAGCACTTAAAAACTAAAAGTGGCATCTATCTGAGTCAAATAGGCTTTTCTGTGCTATTTGTAGTTTGTGTAAGTTTTCAACCTTTCATGCTAGATGAAATCATAAAGATCAAACTCATATCAAGCCAAGATTTCATAATTCAAGATCAAATCCAAATATTCTTGGTATAAAAATATGAATCTTTCCATCTCATTTAATCACTATGTTCTCTCGGATAAAACTACAAATGTTAGTAGTCATAATAAAGTTCAAACTACAATTGAACATCAACAGAAGTTTTTTAAAGTATTCTCAAGATTACAAAACATTACTTTTTAGAAACCAAAGGGTTGTATAATGCAATAGAATATATGTTTAAATATTGTTTCTGTTAAATCACTATCAATGATCATATACTTCAAAAGAAAAATATCGACAGAGATTTGACAATCGTCCATTGTGAATATGAACTAAAATATGCAATCAAAACATTAAGTGAATGTTTTCAACTATTGATTTATTATCTTTATTAAAGTAACAAACAACATTAAAGAATAGATGAGATTAATTTTTTTATTTTAATTAAATAAAAACAAAATTGATTTTAAGTCTGAAACAGTTTGTTTTCGAAATACTTTTAGCGAGATTTAATAAATAACAATTTTGTTTTTGTTCATATATATGTTAGACGTGTACTTCCTCTTGAACGCTGTTGCATGGTTGATAATAGATTTTCATTTGATTGTATTTTCATATAAGTTAATAATATTTCCAATAATTCTTTTGATGTTTCACGAAAATGTCGACAACAAAGTAAATAAATAATTAAATTTCCATTAGAATTAATTGTTTGCATAAAATTAGCAAACGTACCAAATATACGTTGAATTCGACATTGGAAATAAAGATTATCTTTTAATATATAATTACCTATTGTTGGATATCGAACTTCATAAATGTGATTAATAAGCATTGGAAAACGACATAAAAGAAATAAAAGTACAACTCCTATAAGCATTATTGTTACATGATGATGTCGTCTTGAATAGTTTAAATTGGCTCTTAACATAGCCATTTGTCGAATTGATGTTGATAATAAACGACGATGTTCATCATGATATTGGACAAGTCGACGAACTGTTAAAATATTTATAATTATTAATATAACAAATGGTATAACATATACAATTGGAATAAAAATATAGATATTAACAATTTCGCGAAACATTTTCTTTTGGCCAATAAATGTATCTGTAAAATTTGATTGAATTAAAATAATAATAATAATAATAATACGAAATTTAAATTTTGTACTTACATGATTTTGTATAATGAGTTCGATTTGCAGTATCAATTTGTGTAATAACACGAAATTCAAACCAATTAGGTATCATAGAAATAATTGCAAATAAAGTCAATAATAATATAATACGTAAAGCGTTTCGTATGGTACAATATTGACTAGCATTTAAACCCATTGAAACATATAAATAACGATCAACAGAAACAGCTACTGTATAATAAGTTATACATAGTTGAAGAGTATTCATTAGTGGAATGATGTATGGTGATAATCTATAAATATACATAAGGAAAAATCATAATAAAAGCGTGTATATAACTTACCGATAAAACGTTTCATTATAAATACTGTATAAATTTTCTTGATTTTTCGAAATGAAATACGGCATAATGATAGTAAAACGAAGTGCATAAAATATAAAAAATAAAATAAGCCATAGCAGATTGACAGCCGCTAATGCGATTAAATATACATTAGTTGATAATGTTTTCATACGTTTATTTGCTAATACAATTATTGAAAATGTATTACCTAGTAAACCTAATATACATGTAACAACTGATGACCATCCACCAACAATTAATAGAATAAGTAACACAAAATTTTCATCTTCTTTAGTACATACAAGGCTATTTGTACTGTTCAATGTCATTTCTATCGTCGATTGATGCTACCACAGAAAAAAATGAAATACAAAATAATAAATAGATAATAATTTTAGCACACCTCCGCAAGTGAAGTATGCCATAAAAAAAAATCATGATATTATCTCTGATGTTATTAAAACTTATTTTATATCCTTATTGCTATCAGTAATGATGCATCAATAGCTGTTTAGATTTTAATCATGTCTATCCTATTCATTAGTCATTTGTATGTAAATAAAAATAAAGAGAAAACATATAATCATTGAATAATTGTTATTTTTGTATAAAATAATACGCCATTCACTCTATTGAATCAACTCAGTAATATTATTTTTAGCGATTTTTTTAATATTGTTATATTAGAATTTCAGTTAGGAAAAATAATCGAATTCTTTCGTAGAATTTGTTCTTGTTAAATTTGTTCAAATTATGCAGTATCGAGTTTTACTATCATGATGAGAAACTAATGAATTAATAAATATCACAATGATCAAGGTGTCATGGATCATAGGTTTTCTTTTGTTATTTTTAACTCATTATTTGATCGTTAACCAAATTCTTTATTTCGTCATGAAAAAATACTTGTACTTTGGGTATAGGTTCAATAATTATTCTTCTGGAAGGTTGAACAAGCCCGCGATAGCTCAGTTGGTAGAGCGGAAGACTGTAGATGTATAACAACTGTAATCTTTAGGTCACTGGTTCGACTCCGGTTCGCGGGACTCGCTTTTTTTTCTCTAAAATGAATTATTTTTCATCAATGAATAATGGTGTTAATTTTTTTCTTTGTTGATCAAAGAAAATAAATGCATACAACAAATTTTGATTGATTAATATTAATTATCTATTTTCATAGAAATTATTCTAATTGAATCCAAAAATAATTCAATATTTGAGGACTATTTTTATGAATTTGTATGAAGTAAAAGAGTATAACGTTGAGAACAAGAAGAAAAAATATCTGTTTTTTTTCTGTATTAACATATATTGATTGATAGGTTCTTCTATTCCAGTGATTGTTAAAATTAAATTTTATATTGAATTGATTTTATAATTATTGATATCTAACATTACTGTAATATTTCTTTGATTTATTCACTCGTTAAAATCATTCTAAAATTATCTGCAAAAACTAATATATGTTGAATATTAATTTTTATTAAAACACATACTTTTATTAAAGGAAGTTTTTGACTTTAATGGCATCTGTATTACATGATAATTTAGGAATTCTTTTTTCTATTCAAATCATATCACGATGTACAAACAGAAATATTGACGATTTCAATTGACTATATATAAAATAACTTCATGCAAGAATCATATCGTCTTTAGATGAATTATTATTTCCACGAGCCATCTGATGAAATAATGACAGCCGCTGCAGTTGAATTTATTTCTATTTTATACGATGCTATGATTGTCTTATCCATGCATAGAGTGAAAAAAAATTGATCACATGTGATGTTCTATTATTTGAACAAGTACAATTATTCTTTACGAAATAGTAATTATTTATTTCTAAATAATTTATAGTCTAAAATAGATTAGTTCACACAATTCAATCGAAGACAGTATACGTACAGCAGCTTCTACTGTAGCTTTGATAATTGATCGAAATGGCATCGCAACCATCATACTCCTTCAAACACTATAATTTACATAACTATGGACATATGGTGTTATGATTTTATTGTTTGTTTACATTAGTATTGATTATGGTGAAGATTTTGAACGAGATAGTGCACTGAATTTGGTCATTCTATTCCATAGTTTTAAACTTATCGACCCTAATTAAGAGAGCGCCCATGAGAGCATCGAGTATACATGGCACTCGATAAAATTTTTTCTTCCGATTTTTTTGCTCATTCAAAACTTCAATATCTAAAACTACTAACCCTAA